TGGTAATGAATTACCGACAAAATGTACTGTTTCTTTTAGAGCACCAAATGAAATAGTTGAGCTGCACTTAGGAACTGCAGATTATGAAGAACAGTAGTTTTAAATACTGTGAGTCTAGGACAATAATTCAAAGCACCAAGATGTTTTCCATCTGATACACACGGGCCCTGAGAGGCAGTGGGAGAGTGGATTTATAGCTCTCAGCTCTCTTTCTTCATCGGGGACACCCACTTTTTGGTTCAAATGTCAGGCAGAACTGCCTGAAATCACTAATGCACACTCTCTTCCTTTCTCTCACCCTCCTTGTTTCCTCACCCTCACCTTCTCACCTTCACCTTTTCTTGAATTCCAGCCAGTTTGATGTAGTTGCACTACAACACATGCATCAGAGGGCCTTTGCGAGAAGTGGCTGTGACAGTGGGGGGTGGGGTGGGGGGCAGCATTTCCATTTCTCTTCAAGAGCCAGCCTGCTGACAGTGAAGCTGTGGAGTCAGCTGACCACCCCCGGCCACTGCCCCTCAGGATCCACTCTTGCTCGGCAGCTCCCAGCCCGTTCGAGCTTGGGGATACCAGAGGCAGGCCATTCCTGCCCGGTTTGGTTTCCTCTGATGGGCAGGGCAGTCTCTGCTCTGGGGCTCTCCTATCAATTGCCTTGCACGCTGACAATGCCATCCAGTCCTTCTTTCCCTTCCATCCTTACCCTCAAAGATGCAGACCAGCATTGTGGTTTGAGGCTCTCCCCAATTCTGTCTTGTCATCCGCTTCCCAGAGGACCTGACCTGACACAACGTATAACGTACAGGGCATAGAATAAAGGTTCTAGAGATGTTAGGTGTTAGTGTTATAATACCAATTGGATTTGATAAAACTAATAACTTCACTAACAGAAGACACTTGTAGAGGCACATATTCTCATGATGACCTGATCCAAGAGTCCTCAGTAGACTCTTAGGCCTTGCCTAGCCTGTATCCATTTCTCTGCCCCTGTGGCACTATTCCAAGAAGAACATTCTGCTCTTTCTAATGCTTCACTGTGTGAAGAGAATTTCAAAACCACTAGAGGATTTGGTGAAAGCTACAGAATTAGCTGGAAAAATGGGCCTCCACAGCCCTTCGTCTTGGCAAGAACAAACACCGTGGTCCTAAGAGCCTTCTTAAAACAAGTATTGATGAAAGCTACCTTCATTAAACAACAGAGCCTTTCCCAGGGGAGTTCTGTGTGAAGTCATTATGGTCTACCTAGCATGTGGATTCCTGGTGCACACGGGACATTGATTAGTCTTACTGAGGGAAATGATGGTCAAGGCAGCAAGGGAAACACATAAGGGTCTCTGAACACACCCAATCAATCTGCAGCCCTAAAGCATGTCCATTAGAGCAAAACCCTTTTCAGTGACAGGTTCCACAAATACTGTTGAAAACCCTGTGATGACGACAGCTATAAACTCCGTTCTCCTGAGACCTATGAGGCTGGTTCTGATTCAGCGACCACAGACTTCACAGAGCAGCTATCAACGGTATGATAATGGTTTGTGATAAAGGTGCTGTTGATGTTCTGCTGAAAGCAGCAGAGAAGCAACTGACGATCAACAGCAATTAGGTGCTTAATAAAACTGCTTTGGAGATGCTGCTGCTTGAAAAGATTGTCATGGGTGGCGCAAGGGACTCAGCAATCAATCCCAATGAAGCCCGTGCCTATCTTTCTTTTTGAAAGCACTTCTTCCATCAAACACAAACTGTGAGACTTTTGCTGCCTCCGAAGGAAGGAAAATCAACATTGATCTGATTAGTCACATAAAAGCCTTGGGCACAATGATCACCTAGGCAGGACACACTTGAGTCAAGGGTGAGACCGGGGAGAGGGCAGAAGAGGAAAATCCCAGCGAGGCCTGCAGGTTTCACCCAGTCTACACAGCCAACAGTGACTGGGTTTCAGCATGGACTTCTGTAACTATAATTTGTGTGTTGCTAATAAAATAACCTAGAAAGGGCAGAGGAGACAGCCATCACAACCCTACACTCACCACCTTTCAGGAGGGGGAAATTATTTCAAACTACTAGGCAAAACAAAAGGGATTGTAGTTACCTATCTCTAATTCTAGGTTGATACACCTTTTGTACCAGAAAAAAATACTGGCTTGAGGACATGACAGACTTGGGCCTGTGCCTGGTTCTGAGCCTTCCCTAGCTGTGTGGCCATGGGCAAGTTGCTTCTCTTGGAGACTCGGTTTCCTCATCTGGAAAGCAGAAATAAGAATAACTACCTGACAGGGTTTTGTGAGACAAAATACCAACATGTATGTGAGAGGCCTCAGCATCTTGTCCTTATAGATTTAAAATCAATTCACAAAGCTTAGCCTGTATCTGTTTCTCTACCCCTGTGGTATCATTCCAAGAAGATCATTCTGCTTTTTCTAATGCTTCACTGTGTGGAGAGAATTTCAACTATCATATCACATGTGACAGATGTGCAGCCCAGACAGCAAAACTGCTGGCCTATATTTATCATTAGCCTTAAGAAATAAAAAGAAGAGATTTTTTTTTTTAATATTACAGTTGTAAAATCTCACTCTAACATTAAACAGTTTTGGAAATATCATTAAAAAACAGAAGATGGCTAGGTAACTTCATCATAATAATAGCTAATATCTCATTATTAATTACTTCATTATTACTTCAATATAGACACTATTTTAAGTAATCTATATCGATTGCTTCATTTAACTCCCAACTACTCTATGCGGTAGGAACCATTCGTCTCTCTCTCCCACCTTACAGATTAGAAAACTGAGGCACAGAGAAATTTTGTTTGCACAAGGTCACACAACCTGTAGGTTAACAAAGACTAGTCTCATCTACAGGCACTTTGATTTCCAACCCTGTGTTCCCACAATTATGCCAAAGATGGGACTTCTAGAGTGGCTACTAAAGTTCTATTTCCTGACCTGGGTGGTGTTTGCTGTACATTTTATTCATGTGATCTTCTGAATCAGTTTTATACTATTAAAAAAGCATTTTCAAGTAATAATACTAGTAGCTAAAATTTTGCCACTCAATGCTCTGGGCAAAAATGGATGTGTTTTGCAACCATAGGCACAGAATTATGGTTCTATAATATTGTAATATTTGTCTCTCAGGGCACCTGGCTGGCTCCGTAGGAAGAGTGTGCAGCTCTTGATCTCAGGGTCATCAGTTCGAGCCCCATGTCAGGTGCAGATATTAATTACATAAATAAAACTTAAAAAAATATATTTGCCTCAGTTGCTTAGGACAGTGGCACAGAAGAACATGGAAATTGAATTTTCATTTTGTGGTCTTAGGTGCTACTTGGTCACCAGAGTCCATTGGAAATGGGGAAATAGTATAAGGAGAGTAATTTTTATTTTGACATGCTGAATCACTGTCTGCCTTGACTATATTTTTCTCAACATTCATTTGCTTGTCTTTTCATGTATTTGTTCTTAATTTCTCTTGCTCATACTTTCTCTTTCTCCTTCTCTTTCTCTTGTCCCTTTCTCTTCTTAACCTCAGATCCACACCCTTCTGGTTCCCTTCTCCGTGCCTCTCTCTCCTTTTCTTTTCTTTTCTTTTTTAATGTTTATTTATTTTAGAGAGAGAGACAGAGACAGAATGTGAGTGGGGGAGGGGCAGAGAGAGAGAAAGACAGAATCTGAAGCGGGCTCCAGGCTCTGAGCTATCAGCACAGAGCCTGATGCGGGGCTTGAACCCACCAAAGTCAGACTTAACTGACCTGAGCCAGAGTGGGACTTAACTGACTGAGCCACCCAGGTGCTCCCTTTTTTTTAATACATAAATCATTTCTTGTTGGTCTTATTTATTGAATATTATGATGGATTGCTTAGTCTTCATTAAAAAGTGTTGAATAGATTATATACAAACTTCAATTAATCCTGCTGACTTAAGTTTCCATTGCCACATGTACTCCCTGATTGACTTCTATTTCAGCAGCTTAATGGTTCCCAGTTATTAAAAACCTTTTGTACCTTAAGAAAGCTTAGGACTGGAAAGGTTAACATGTTATGGCCTAAGAAGAAAACAAAGTATATGAGCATAAGTTGCCCAAAGTAATCTGCTTTCTCCTCACATACTACTTGCTTTTCACTCTCTTGTAGACACCCAACAGAGAAATCACATGCCAGGGATGTTTCTTAGCCTATGACGCAATGGAGCTTAGTCTTGCCCATTAAGGAGATCTGTGAACACTGAGAGACTCCAGCGCTTTATGTAAGGATGGGCCCACAAAGGCTGGGAGTGGCCAGAAAGATCATCCCCTGAGCCGAGGATCGCTGGGCCTCAACTCCAGAACTAATTTGTGCACTAGGACATGACTCAAAAATCTTATAACCAGGCAGAAAAGTATGTATGTGTGTGTGTGTGTGTGTGTGTGTGTGTGTGTGTATAAATTTATATATACATAAATATATATATACTTATTTTTTTAATGTTCATTTATTTTTGGGAGAGAGGGAGAGAAAGAGCATGAGCAAGGGAAGGACAGAGAGAGGGAGACACAGAATCCAAAGCAGGCTCCAGGCTCAGACCTGTCAGCACAGAGCCCAATGTGAGGCTTGAACCCATGAGCTGTGAGATCATGACCTGAGCCAAAGAAAAGTTGCCCCCAGAAGGGTATATTTTAAAAAATCCCCTTCTCTCTGCTAAAGAGACACTTGCATTCTTTATTCAACAGCTGTATATAGGGTGCTCCTCAGTGTAGTACATATCACCTTCCCACCTGCTTAAGTACTGGGTACTCTAGCCCTTCCCTAATCAACATGGTCCACAGCAGATTCTAAGAATTCCATGGGGCCCTGCCTTCCCCTGAACCTTGGAAATAAAGACCCATCACATGGCACCTTTGTAACAAATCCCAGTCCCCATCTCCCACTTCAGGTTCTAAGACTTCCTGGACCCTCTGGGAAGTCACAGCCTGATCGGTACCTCGGACAGTTCCACTATATCCACTGGGGAGCAGCATATACCTGTTGGATTGTTCTGTAAGCAGGCTGGGGTCCTTCATCCTTAACCTCTTCCTCCGGTCCTGAGAACACTATTTCTTCTTCCTCCTCCTCACTTTCTCCAGAACAGGAATCAAATGCATCAGCATAATATTCTTCAGCCACAAGCGGGTCTTCTGGGATGTCTGAAATAAAGAATAAACAGCAATCAAGTCCTACCAGTCATTAAAATTGTAACAAATCTAGGATCTCCTATATTTTCCCAGAGATGTATATTATGTTTGTGCTGATAAAGCTCTCAGGAGGGTAGAGCTGAATCTTAGCTTCCTGAAAGTATCTGGTTGAATGTAATAAATACTCAGCAAAATTAAACCCGTAAAGGAAAGGAGGAATGACTCTACCAGCAACCATATTTTGAAGGTGGAAGAATAAAGCCATGAAACAAGGAGAAATGATCTCTTGGAGGCATAAATCTTTATTACAAAGGAGGGGATGTAGGAGCAGAAGCAGGATGAGATGCCTTGCCTGCAGGGCTCTCTTACACACCCACACAAAACTTCTGCAGAGGCAGCTGGAGTAGAACTATGACAGCACTCTTCCTGGGAACTTCTTTTTTAAAGAATAAGTGGTGAGACCAGGTAAGATGCATAGGATATATAGGAATGGCATTTTGGCAAGCTGGGGAAAACATTACGGTTCTTTTTTAATAGGCTATGAAGGCTTTTGAAATGGTGTTCACTCTGGGACCCTGCTTACTTACATCTATATGTGGCATTTATTGTTTTTAAAAAGGAAAGATCACTCAAGTTGATGCCAAGAAGTGACTACCTAAGTTACATGATGCAATGTTATTACTAACTAAAAATATAATCGGTGTTTATAATGGTTTTCTTTTTTTTTTTTTTTCAACGTTTATTTATTTTTGGGACAGAGAGAGACAGAGCATGAACAGGGGAGGGGCAGAGAGAGAGGGAGACACAGAATCGGAAACAGGCTCCAGGTTCTGAGCCATCAGCCCAGAGCCCGACGCGGGGCTCGAACTCACGGACTGCGAGATCGTGACCTGGCTGAAGTCGGACACTTAACCGACTGCGCCACCCAGGCGCCCCTATAATGGTTTTCAACCAAGAAAGGCCAAGACTGGATCACAAAAAAACATAGTGGTATCAACTCCAATTTACTAATGAAGGCCTAGAAGTAGGGAAATATCCTCGGGGAAAGGAGCAAATTACAGAGTGACACCCCACCATATTAAAACCATGGGCATTTTAGGCTCTGCACCATTGTCTGATTTATAAACAAAATAATTCTTCTAAATAAATTCTTCTAAATCATAACAAACAGCACTGTTTTTCAACCCACTGTTGCTACTCTGTGTTTCTTGGGGGGGAAATATGGAATTTGGCGTCAGAGAATCAGGTTGGAATCCGGCTCTACTGCCTCTTACAGGAGAACCTAGACAAGGTATTTGAACTTACTGAGCTCCAATTTCTCCAGTAAAACTGGCATAAGGGTAACCTGGCAGGGTAGCTGGGAAGATTCAGTAATATGATTCTTATGAAACCACTGTATACAGGGAAGCTTTATAAAATGTTCACTCAATTTCCACATCTGTAAAAATGGACTTTTCATTAAGTGATTCCAGAATCCTCTGGAAGTAGGATACTTAGTAGAGGTAGAGTTCCCTGATAGTCTGACAGCGGGGTACTTTAAAATCTTCGCTAACTATGGTTTCCCATAAAACACAAGAGGCCAGTGCCATGACCTCAAAATTAACTCAAAATACAAAAATTACATATATTAAAAAACTGTCTTTGCCAATTCCTTAGGAAGGGGCACACTGGGGCTCCCATACTTCTGGTAACTCCAACACAGACTGTTTTCTCTTTAGATCACTGGTTTTCTGTTGAGCAGCAAATGAAATAGATTATTTGTATATGGGAGCCATGTTTTATAAAAATCTTGACTCAACTCACACTCAGAATGGCTTGAGGAGTAGATGAAGCATATACGAAATATATGAGCAAGATAAGTATATGAAAACTAATAGCTCCCAAGTAGATAATTCAAGTCTCTAGTTTTGTCCTCAAGTAGGGGCATTTCTCACTGAATGGAATGGTGGACAGGACCACATGACTTCCTACCTCTGTTCCTCCCCCTCCACCTCTCCCTCCATCTCTGCGTCTCTTTCATAGACTTGTCCACTCTGTCTTCTTCTTCCCACCTCCTCCTATTTCCTCTCCCTCTCCCCCCAGAGGCTCTCTGTCTCTTTGACAGTTATTCGTTCATTTATTTATTCCTATTTTTCTCTTTCTTTCCCTCTATTCCTCATCTCCTCCATGTTAGGCCAGAATATTTGCTTTCAAATTTGACTGTGACACAATAAGAATATCATTTACATTGTTTCCCAGTACACAGAAATGTGCTTATATTTGTGTATGAACATAAATATATTTGTAGTTGAAATGAAAGTTTCATGCATCCAGATTTACCCTTACTAAATATGACAATTCTGGTCTTTCACGTTCTATTCAAGAAAACTGTTTTAAATGCTAGTTGCAACTTGTTGATTTCTCACCACACAATTTGAAAAACACTAGTTTAGAATGCTGGCTTTGGAATCAAAAAAGAGCTGCATTTAAGTCAAGGCTCTAATATCAGCTCTATACCAGCTCTATTCCTGCCCTTCAGCTTTCTCATCTGTAAAATGGAGATGATAATGCCCATCTCTTAGAATTGTTGAGAACATTAAATAGTATAATGGATGCAAAGCACCATGCACATTATGTACCCAGTAAATGTCATTACTAACATTTACCATAAAACTCTGTACACGTTTTGCCTGTAATACACAACACCAGGAAGAAACAGAAATATTGGACAATCACAAATATATACACAAAATAGAATCACTTCTCAAAATCCATACTGTACCCAACTTAAATGGGTAATAAGGCAAAAGGCCAAATCCCACAGCCAAATGGTTCTCTTGATAAATGCTGAGCCCCACCTCCCATAACATGACTCCTTGTGCACAGAGTCTTGGTCTTAGAGGAAAGATTCCCTCTCTTACCAAGGATCCCCTCCCAGGAAGGAGAGGAAGGAAAGAAATGGTAAGGAGGAAAGTGCCCTCTTGCCACTTGTGCCTAAGTCATAAAGCAGACGGGGATGAATTCATCTCCAATATTTCTGAAACGAGCACCACTATCTTGGTACAGCTCAGAAAAGAGATCATTTTCAAAAGGAAAAGTCAAAAGAAATGTAAGTCTGCTCAAACTGTGTTTGACAAGCTGTGTGTTTTTCTTATGCAGGCCCAATTTGAAGCCTTGTTAGGCTAAGGCTCATTTCTCCTGTCATTGAGGGAAAATGGTCTGTGATAAATAGCTTTAATTTCCTCACACCCTGAAGTCAGCCTCATAGCAGATGCACTGGAGCAGCATTCCAGATCTCTACTAGGCTGGGTGGGCAGCGACAGTGTGTTTATGAAGGAATCCAGTTGTGGCTGCCTGAACTTGGGCACCGTTGTTACAGATCCGTGCTGGAGAAAAAGAGAAGCAATCACCCTGTTCCATGAAAAGGAGGCTCTTTGCCAGACCCTTCGATTAAGACCCTAATAAATCCCTTTCTCTAAGACTTAAGTGAATATCAGGACCACCTGCAGGGCCTGTTAAAACACAGATCACTAGGCCCCACCCACTTGCTGATTCAGTAGGTCTGGGGTGAGGCCTGAAAATGTGCATTTTGAACAGATTGCCAGGGGATGCTGGGGATGCTGGTCTGGGGCACAACGTCCAAACTGTTGCTATAGGATGTGACTAATTCAAATAAAAGTACTATCATATATTATTATATAGAAGCACTATAATAGAATATGGAAGACTACATCTTCCAACCTTATATGTTATAGACCAAAAAAATGAAGTCATAAGCTTTACTTTAGAAGAGTTCAAATTGTTGTACCATTAGCTGTCACGATCTCTGTGGAGTTGTAGGGCACTCTTCTCATTTTTACTGATGGAGAAGAACAAAGCTGTGAGTGAGCAGTCCAAAGTTAAAGCACTTTACAGTTTGCAAAAGCACATTCACATCCATTATCCCATTTAATCATTGCAACAGTTATTCAAGTTAGACCAGGACATTTTTATCATTTTTTTTTGGATAATGAAAGTGAAGCTCAGGCAGGCTAATAACCAATTGAAAGTCACAGAGCTGTATGCAGGGTGGACACTAGACCAGAACACAAATAACCTGAATCCTATCTTTTTTCCACCGAATTGGTGCTATTTCATGGTTAGCTAGGAACGTTTGTCTTCGTTAGTAAAACCACGTCATGGATAAAAGGTGTGATTGTCTTCCCCCATCGCTCTGAAAGATGTTGGACAAGGGATAGGCTTTCCACTTAGGAGACGGGAAAACTGAAACACTTAGTCATCCTGGTAAAGTGTCTGAAAGGAGCTGGGAATATTGAATGCCAAGGGCTCTCCCTCAGACTCAGCCCAACTGTCACTACCCTCAACCTCAGATGTGCTCAAACTGGAGTGTGCACTGGGATTGCGTGGAGGCCTGTTAAAACAGATTCCTGGCCCCATGCCCAGTGTTTCAGATTAAAAAACTGATGGTCTGGACAGGGGTTTGGGGGGGAGGTGGCAAGAAGTCTACATGATGCTGCTGCCGCATCTTGGAGAACCATTGCTCTACCTTACAGGACCTTCAAGGAGAAAGTGACACACAGGTGTAATTGTTGAATGTGAATTTCCCTGATACTTCATCTATTATTGTACCAGCCCTTTAAACTTCTCAAATGATCAGAAAAATGCACTAAAGAATTTATTTTTTATTTTTTAAGAAATTTTTTAAAAGAAGTAATAACATAAGAACTTTGCCTAAAGTCAAAGCCTCATTTCCTTTAGAGGAACTTAGTGATGTGGAAGGAATACCTCAGCCTGTGCACCTACCACCATGCTGAATGATTCTAACCATCTGTATGTCTTGAGTAAATGCATGTCATGAGTTTAGCACAATGGTTCTCAAACGGTGTTCCCCAGAAGAGCAGCAACAACATCACCTGGGATATTACTAGAAAAGCAAATTCTCAGGCTTCCCAGACTTGCTGAATCAGAAACTGAAGGAAGTGTCCAGCAATCTGCATTTTAATAAGCCCTCCAGGGGGATCCTGATGCAAGCC